CTGGTTAGTGGGGGCAGAGGAGCCCATGGGTGGGGGACACACGGGGTGTCTGGGAGCATAGTGGGTAGACTGAGGAACTGGATGGAGAAGGAAACCAGGTCTAGCAAGAAACAAACTTTTGTTTGCTTAGGTGTTGGTTTGGTAGGCAGTGGGCTCTCTTTTGAAAAGAGAGTAGGCTTGAAAGAAGCTTAGGAAGGTATACAGAGTCCTGACCTATATAAATTGCCTTGGAATAGAGTTTGTATGAAAATAGCATGTTTGAACGGGTGGAAGAATGTTAATAAATAACTGAACTGTATGTTCTCGTGTCTGTACTTGATTCTGAGAATGCCAGCGTAATTCCTCATCCTTGTTTGTGCAGTGAGTGTGTCCATGTACCTGCTGCGTACAGCGTCTGACTCCAGATGTGCTGCACTCCAGACACTGGTGTAAAACTTGCTTGGGAAATGGCAGTCTTCAGAGGTGCTGAAGAAGCTGCCTGAATAGCTGCTAATTAAATGCCTGCTTTGGCCAGGGCTTTGAATTGTATATGATACCATGTGCTTGTTAAAAGTGGATAAATGACAGCATAAAATCAGTATTTAATACTGTAAGGCTTTGAAAAATGACCTTATTTTCGGTGCTGATAATTCAGGATCATCTCGATGCCATTTTGAGATGGAACATTCACCGCAGAGAGTTCTTGTAAAGCATTCTGTTGTGTTACCCCTGCAGTGACACACACGGTAACGCAGACGTGCTGCTGCTCCTGCGTGGTTTGTAGAGTCCTGCGAGCATCCCGGCCTCTTCCTCCCGCTCCAGGGGTGTGCATGGACCTGACCAAAGCACCCGGGCTGTTGGTGTTCACTCACGGGAAGCCTGATGTTCTTGGCATTTATATATAGCATTTTTGGGATGTTTTGCAGCTCCTTTGCTAAAGAACGGATTCTGACTTCTGGCTAGGTATTAAGACATAGTAGGTTGTTACTGTGTAGGTTTACATTAAATACAGTAGGGTTTTAAACTGAGATGTTATGCTGAGTAAGTTCATTGACTTCTCTACTCTTAGAATCTATTACGTTAAGATTCTTCTGCATTCATTGTAAAATTGTGAGTGCTATTTACTGGATTTTATCTAGTTTTAGATTAATTAAATTTACAATGTATTTTAACAGGGTTCATTTATTAAAGAAAACTATTTTCTGCAATGACTATATAATATGGTCCTCTGGGTTTAATTTCTTTCTAGTTGCTTTTTCGGTCAGGATCTTGTAATAAATAGCTGTCATTCCTTCATGCTCTCACAATTTACAAACAAAGGCAGGTGTTAAATATCTACCTTTTCAGTTCCAAGTCACTTTACTAAGCTGCAGTGGATTAATCATTGGATGGAAATAGTTGAAAAATGCAGTAGAGGTTACACTGCAGCAGGTTTTTCAGCACTTTGTCAAACATCAGTTCTAATACTTAATCAGTGACTTCCATCACCAAGTAGGCATTTATACAAGCTATTAAAATGCCTTCACTTATAAAAAATTCTAACCCAGTTATAGGTTGCCATCATTTTATACTTAATTTTACATTCATTTTTTTTAAAGAAGTGCAAATGGAAAAATATCACTTATTAATTACTATGTGAGAGACTTCAAAGTTTATCCAAATAGAGAATGATTCTGTAGTTCTTAGTAACTCTTACTTGTATGAGTCATCTGAAATGCTATTCTGTAAGCATTGCAGAAACTTGCCCATGATACTTGGCATTTTTCTTTGTATTAAAGCATGTTTTTATAACTTCGGATGTGAAATTTGCCTGGTGCTTTTGGAAGTTTAGGTGACTTCTGTCATCTTAATGAACTGCCAGTGGTTACCTGCCTTTTCAAAGGTCATCTTTGATTTGGTTTTTTGTTGTTTTGTTGTTTTTTTTTTTTTTTAAAAACAAATCTTCATTACATCTTGCAACTAGTTGCTGTTAGTTCACACACTTTCTTCTCCTGGGAATTATAGAAAGTCTGTAAGATTAGGAAGTAACCTAATTAACAGCAGGAATTTTATTTTTTTTTCCTGTATTCATTCCAGGACACCTAAAGGAGATGGCTGCATTGCAGGGAAGAGGGTAACTTCCATAGAACACTTAGATTATAGGCTTGATAAATATTCAGTTTTCTTTGCAGGAGGAATTCCAACTAAAAGATGTTGTCTGTTTCATATAAAATAGCTGAATACACGTGCAGTGTATCAAACTCATACAGTAAATGCAGCTTGTGATTGTTAGCGCCCGTTATATCTCATTTTGAGTTAAATAAGCCAGAAAACTGGCATAAGACCACCAGGAGCTTGAGTCCTCCCTGCTGGATTTGCTGTGGTAACTTAGGACTTTCAGGGGGTCCCTAGTGGGGTCCAAAGCTGGAGTGAGCATGGTAGCGTTTCTGTAGACACGTGTGGTGGCCGTGCCACTGTGGGTGTGATAGTCCTGGGGCTCAGGAGGGAGGTTTGTAGGCAGAGATACCCCCTTGATGACCCCCAGCTGGTGTAATTACTGTAGATGTATTTCAGGTGCACAAACCCCTGTTAGGTCTTGAAAAGAAGCAGTGAGATTGAAAGTGGTAAAGCAAATTGTGAAGATTTGCTCCAAGTTCTGGTAGAGGCTGAGCAAAAAAACATCTAGAAGATGTGGTATTTGGAGCAGGGGAGGATGCTAATGAGAAGTGATAATGCTCATCTCCTGTGGGGAGCAGGAAGACACTGAAGTTCACGTTAGCCATGTGGGCATGAAAAAGGAGATGTTAGAGTGTACCATAAAACCAAAATAAAGTTGGTTTATTTTGGATAGCTTTTGGATTTTTTTTCAGTGTTTTGTAGACTTGACGGAAGAATGAAACATGCTCTTGGTGCCCCAGTCCATCGTGTCGGTGATTGACTTTGGCTGACTTTCTCAAATGCATCCTGTATGTGGATGAAACATTCTGGGAGGTCAGGAGTCTTGCTCTTCTACTGTGAGGAATACATATATTTAATTGTGATGATGCGTTCACGGGTATTTCTTAGGGAAAATCTGCGCCAGTTCAGTGGATGGTCTGCAGTGAGTTGACTTTTCACTTCACTGAAGCTGGTGGTGAAGTTGAGGAAGCTGTTTGGAAATTAGGTGAGGTGGTTTTGGAAAAATGGCTTTAAAATAATAATTTTAATGAGTAATAGCTGGTAACATAAATATGTTTGCTTTTTTTGTAGTAAAGCTACCCTGTATTAATTGGTTTCAGTTAGATGTTCAAAGGAATGTCTTTTATTTTATCTAAAGCTATATTACCTCTGTGTGTGTTTGTTACAGTAATTTAGCTAATGACTTCACAAAATGCTTATATTTGTGGTTTAGATAATTTTCCATCTGCTTAGTAAGGTTGGTGAACATCTGAAGGAAGTAAACATAAACCAGCTGTTACCATTCCTCCTTTTTCATGTTGATGTTTACAAACGGAAAAATACATGGGTGTTCTGTAGAGAACTTGTTCTAAAGGAGTATAAATTGTTCTATTGAGAGGCCTCATCAGAGATTCTTTTCTCTTCAGAATTTCCACCTGGTGGTTGATCGGTTTGGACAGTTCAGTTTATCTGGGCATGGAGTATTCACCCTTTCTAATGAGGTTAGGATGCCAGAGCTGTTGGGGAAACTAGAAGCAATGTCACTTGCTTGAAAACCTTCCTTTTTTGTTTAACTTCTATTGTTGTATGGACGAAATTCCTAATTTACACTACAGAAAACGTGTAATCTTCTGAAACTGTGCAAGCCCTTTTTAAAGCAATATTTTGATTATGTCAATTTATTCTTTACATGTAATTAAAATCAGTAAATATTCCATGGAACATGATGAAAAGCTATAGCTTTCTCTGGAAATTTAATTCCTTGTAGTTTTTTGAAGGTGTAAGAGGTAGGTGGACAAGTTTGTATGTCCCTTAACTAGTGATCAACTTCTGATATTTCTTTTTTATTTATTTCTGAGGCTTCATTTATGCTGTATTCTGTTGCCAGATGTTCCCATTGATACTCAGATGTTCCCAAAAAATCCAGTCAATCTTAGTCACCTGACATGATGTAATACCTAAATATATTTAATCGGATATGATCCAACTACTCTTCCAGTCCCTGTGGCAGTACCTGTTTAAAAGGAAACAACAACCACCCCTCAGGATGTGTGCCGTGGTCTCCTAGGGAACTGCATATCTTTGTTCTCAACTTCGGATGAAAACAGGGATGAAAATAGGTTTCATTCCCCTGGCAAAGAGTTAAGATTTTTATAAATGCCATTTAAAGCTTTTGATCCTGTGTGAGTAATAATAGCCTGACTTAATCATAAAAAATGTGTTGTAGAATATTTCTATATAAAATTTTGGAAAATTATTTGGAAGTGTGTTTGCAAAGTGGTTAGAGGTCGTGTCTAAAATTCTTGAAATGGAGACAAATAACATAATGAATCACAAGAAATAGAAATTGGGGTGATCCAGTTAGATTCACCGCACTTATTAAAGCAACTTGTATATTTGGCAGACTGTCCTGAACGCAGAGAGTACTGTCTTATATTACTATATTTTAAATTTGTATGCAGGTCAAGTGAGGATTTCTTCTAGCTGCCTTTTATCTCAGGACAGGTGTTTTGGTTCATGGGAGATGTCTTCAAAAAGACCACATTTCTAATATCAGTGTTTAGATACTTGTTTAGATGTGTTGACTTCAGCAGAATCCTGAGGCTTGGGGCTGTCACTGCTCATCACCTACTGCAGTAAATCATGTTGGCCTTGGCCTCGTAGCTGGGATCAGGGAGGTCCCAAACGGGACAGGCAGGTGGTGGAGCATCGATAGACTTTACCAGTGTGTCCTTTTGTTCAGTTTCCTCTTATTTTGGATCCTATCCAGAGTTAAATATTCAAACTCCATCTTTTAAATAAATGCAGATGGATAATATATTTTAAAGGAACTTCTTAAAATGCTAAATGCATTTATATAACACTACATACGTGTTTATTTCTAGGAGAAGGAGCTACAGCCGAAATTTCCTCCTCTTTTGTGATTCTGTCTCTCAGTACTCTGGTAGTACTGGTAATTCTGCTGGCCAACTGTGTCTCATGCTGCAAAGACCCTGAGATAGACTTCAAGGTAAGCCTCTGAAGTGCAAATGTATGTACAAGTGGTATTCCTGGTGTTCTGGGTATCAGCACACAGCTTGCTCAATTGTTGTGGATCCTCGGCCGTTACTGACCCTCGGTGTCACTGTGCGTCTCTCTGAAGCAGCCAGCAGCTCTGTTTCTACACACTGGAAAATCTTGTTGCAACCATTTATTTTAAGTACTTGGTCCATGCTGCAGTAAGGATCTTTAATGTATTTTCAAAATTGTTACTAGCTGTCAGGATCAGTAGTAAAAGTACACCCTTGAGACAATTCTGCTGTAGTTAAAGAGCCTTTTTGTCCTTTTCCTGTGTATTCTTTTAATTGTTTTTCTTAGTCTGCTGACAGGGTTTAAGATGCTCCTGTTGAATAAGAATACTGAAGATTTGGCCTAGTCAGTTCAGGGTAATTCATTCAAAGCCAGGGGTAACATTTAAAGTAAAATACCAAAAACCCAAACCACAAAGAAACCCACAAAACAAACAGCCCCTTTTTGATAAAGGCAATACTTGATACTGTAATCTCTTTAAATCAGTAATAACTTGAAAGTAAGGAATAGAAAACTAAAAATCTGTCACTGTCCTTGGGAAAAAAATCAGGCCTCCTTAACATCGCTCATTCAAGCTAAAAGAAATGTACCAGTGCTAATTTTAAGACAAAGATCAACTTGTTTACTAAGGTATTTCTTTATGCAGGAATTTGAAGATAACTTCGATGACGAGATAGATTTTACACCTCCAGCAGAAGATACTCCGTCTGTTCAGTCTCCAGCAGAAGTCTTTACTCTTTCAGTTCCCAGTATTACTGTACCAACTCCCTCCCAGTTCCCATCTCGTACAGGTAAAACACAGGTTTTTTAATGAAAAACTAAAAGCGGTCAATTTCAGTGTCAAAAGTGGAGTGAAGCTGACTATGTTTAACTTCACTGTAACGAGTTAATTGTTACAGACTTACATAAACTGAGTAAATATATTTTGAAGGAGCTTCTTAAGTATAGTATAGGATATATAGTACACTTAAGTGAAGTATAGGATAAAATGTGAAAAATTACTTAAAAAATGTTAACTTACGGCAGGATGCCATGTAAGGTAGCTAAATAGAATTAAACTAGCTGAAATAAACCTCTTGAGGACTTTAATTACACCTCTCTGTGCAGGAAGGGTTGACATTCTCTGATACATTGGTGACTTCTGCTCTGTGGTGGTTTTCTCCCTGGCGAGGCGGTCGCTGGGTTTCTGCCGTTGGCCTTCAGTGGGAGAGGGACTCGCGTGCCTCAGCGCTGCTCTCGCTGCGTGGCTGCCTCCCAGCACTGTGGGCTTTCCCTGCTGGACAGAGCGTGAGACTGCCCTGGGAAAGGCTCTTTGGAATGTGTTCTCTAAAATACAATTATTGCAAAAGGAGACTGAAGCATCTTAAATATTTCAAACATAGTGTAGCATAAAGTAGTTGTTGTCGTACTATAGGACCTCACATATAATTTTTACATATATTGCTTGTGTTGCTTAATCATTAGATGTTCAGGGAAGCTTCTTGTTCAAGTTCTGTACCTACAAATTTCAAGAAACTATCAGTGTGCCTTTGAGGAGTAAGTTTCTTTTGTATCAGTGTTCTAATGAGCGAGGGAAAATTCTCTGTGAATAATTTTATCTCAGTGCTTCTACATTGCCATAATTGTTGTCACGGGAAGTTATTTTGCCAGGAGCAGGCAGTGTTCTCAAGTAAGGTGCACTGGTGAAATGGGGTTGTACCGATTCAGCATTCTCTGTGCTTCAAATCACCTTGAGAGTATATTGCACAGCTATAGTTGTTCCAGTAAGGTAGTACTGGTGTAAATGGGGCTTATGGAAATAAAAATGGGGGCTAGAATTCTGTCAGACAAGTCGTGTGGATGGGAAGTTTCTCTGTACATCTGTTGGTGTTCTTAAGCAGCAGAGAGGTAAACACTGCTGGATCTCCTGGGTAGGATAGAGCCTGCCACTGTTACTGCCCCTCCTCTGCCCAGATCTGGGCTTTTCTACCCTGTCCCTCTCTGCACTCTTCACATTAGGTATTTTTAGTCGGAAAGTGTCCTCCTTCCAGATGGCAGCTCTAAGTAGGGCAGTTGGGCTGAAGAGTAAAGCAGTCAAACCCTTTCTCTTAAAATCATAGCTCTCTGTGTCACTATAAATTTTAAGATACACAAGCAATGAGCATTGTCTTGGGTTTTCTGCTTTTGTTTACATAGGAAATGTTTGTGAGGAGGTTATTTAGTGTGTAGACTGGTGAGGGGTCTGGAGCACAAGTCTTATGAAGAAAGGCTGAGGGAGCTCCAGTTCAGCCTGGAGAAAAGGAGGCTGAGGGGAGGCGTTTTCGCTATACCACCTGAAAAGAGGGTGTAGCCGGGGGAACCCAGTGTTTTCTCCCAAGGAACAGGCAATGGGACAAGAGGAAACAGCCTCAAGTGGTACCAGGGAAGGTTTAGGATGGATATCAGGAAAAAATTCTTCACTGATAGGGTTGTCAAGCCTTGGAACAGGTTGCCCAGGGCAGTGGTGGAGTTGCTGTCCCTGGAGGTGTTTAAAATTTATGTAGATGTGGTGCTGAGGGACATGGGTTAGAGGTAGCTCTGCAGTGCTGGGCTAACAGTTGGACTTGATCTTAAAGGTCTTTTCCAAACTAAATGATTCTATGATTTGTTTTAACCAACTACAGGGTCTGCTGCACTTCTATATTGGAATTAGAACCCAGCCTTTTTGCCTTCTAACTGAATGCTTCAAAAAATTGCAAGTTGACATATCCTAAGGAGAATCCCCATCTGTTTGTAGGGAATGTGTTCTAGTATGGTTTAGAAGCTGGAGCTGAGAAAAGTTTCACTTGAGTGCTACTGTCACAACGTTCCTTCGTATTTTATGTTTGTCTGACTAGGCTTTGCTGCTTAGTCTGAATGTGTGGATGTAATCGGGAATAGATGTTGTAGGAGCTTGTGTTATTTCCTTAACAGTTGATAACTTTGGCCATCTGAGTGGTTTGATACCTGGTATCTTTTTTTTTGTTGTGTGTGACAGATGGATCCAAGTCTCAAGTTGCACGTCAGAGTCTAAACTACATCCAGGAAATTGGAAATGGCTGGTTTGGAAAGGTGAGAAGTTTGCCTTTTGGTTTTGTTGGGTTTGGTTTGTTTTGGGTTTTTTTTTAATATTGTACTGCAGTTTGAGTCTTATCCCTAACTGACTTGACTGTATTTCCTTTAAAATAGTACTCTTAAAAAAAAAAAAAGTAATAGGATTTCAACTGCAGTTTTTCTTATACTATGTTTCTTTGTATGCACACTTTAGCTGCTGCTTTAGTTCACGTGTAGTTTCTTACTAGGTACGCATTTTACCTCTGTGGATTTGAATTCAGACATTCCTGTTATTACCAGTTCTTTCTAGGAAAAAATCTGAAGTAAATAAGTGGTCTTCATTAGAAAAGTTGATGAGTAGATAGGTTGTCAAGTTGCATTAAGTATGGGTGTTTAATTCTCAAAGCCCTGCAAGCGTTGACAAGCCAGGAAATCTTTCTTACAGCATGTCTTTAGCACTTGTTTTTCTTTGCAGGGAAATGCCAAAATTTGTTTCCCTTGGCTTAAAAACACATGGTTCTCTTTTCCAGGTTCTGCTCGGAGAGGTCTACACGGGCACTAGTGTTGCAAGGGTGATAGTGAAGGAGCTGAAGGCGAGCGCAAGTCCCAAGGAGCAAGAACAGTTTTTAAGAAATGGAGAACCGTATTAGTAAGTAATGTTTGACTGCAGGGTTAGCTTCTGCACTTCATACCACTGCATGGGAATGGGGGGCAGTTCTTCTGGTCACTGTTACTGCCTCTGCTTATAACTGAAATGCATGGCTTTACAAAGTGGAATACTGTCAGTCCAAAGTGAGCAAGAGTTGAGCTTGCATAGAAATAAAAATAAGCCCTTTCCTTAAATGTGTTTGATTGTTTTTATTCATGACTGGAAAACACACTTGTTTGGTTAATCAGTTTTTCTTCTACAGCTGTTTAGAACGAACTTCTGGTGTTGCAAACAAACCTTATAGCTAATTACTTGTCTCTGAGGAGTGAGGTTTAACGCCTGTACTTGGCTTTCCTGTTAGAAGCAGGGGAACTGGCAACACTTTGCTATCAGACACACGTTAATTTCTTTAAAGTTCACTTTTTCAAACAATGAAGTGCAACATAGTGATAAAAACTAATTTTGTTCTGGTAGCTTCCAAGGAGGCTTGTGCATGCAAAAAAATCCCAGAATTATACTACCTTCAGTCTAGTAGTACTCTACAACTGAGAAATTATTGATCTAGGGGGAAACACCAATAAATCAGGATTGTTTGGTGTTTGTGTTGTGGTGTGCTTGGAGGATGCTCGCTTCTAGGGGCTGAGCCTTTGTACAGTGGACCGGTATTTGGTATATTAAAGGGAGTGTAATTTCTCTTCCCGTGTTTGGGAGTAGTGGAGCTCTCTGAAGAGCTGCCTGCAGGAGGTAATGGCTTGTGTAGGCGAGTGGGAAGGAGAGAGCTGTTCCCCAGACAGAGCTCACAGTGGGCTTGGCCTGCACTCGCCACGAGTGAGTGGTCACAGGGAGCTCTGCTCTCGGTGCTGCCCCGAGGTGTAGTTGCAGTTGCAGTTAGGCTTAAGCTGTTGGCAGTTGTCAGAAGCAGCAATCTCATGCCTTCTGCTGTGTTGGCACAAGTGCTCTTGAAGCGATTCAGAAAAAGCAACTGATCTGGCTGGGAACTAACCTGGCTAAATAAAGGTTTAGCTCTTAGCCAGATCAGTTCTGGATGTAGCTCATGAACCAGTTGCATGTGATTATTTTTGGTGAGGGGGGTGGCGGGACAACGGGTGTGACTGTCTTGTGGCAGTGCTGCTTTGTGGCTTCGGGATCTCTGGGTTTCACTGCTCTCGGTGATGTGCTGCAGCAGTGCAAAGCTGGTACAAAGGGACAAGAGGAGCCTGTGCCTTTGGATCCTGGCATCCTGTGTCCGTGTGCCCCCTGCCAGTGTTAGGGGTTGAAGCTTCTGGTAGGGATTTCAGTGTGTTGTGTTTTACTGCAAATAATATATCATGTCATCTCTCTGGCTTTAACTGAATTTTTTTTTACTCTAGCATTCTGCAGCATCCAAATGTTCTCCAGTGTATTGGGCAATGCGTGGAAGCCATTCCTTATCTCCTAGTTTTTGAGTTCTGTGACTTGGTAAGTGCACTTGTACAAAAGACTGCAGTTGTTTTTCTATTGGAGTAGATTTTATGTAGTGTATTCACTGCCCTTCAAAGTGATTTGTTTTCTTCCTTGGAAATGTTTTTAATAACCAGAATGTCAGAAGATAGACTTTTTTTTGGTTTACAGAAAAACCACAAGTGTAATTTCTTGTTTATAATCTTTTTCAGTTCATCATGTAAATTCTAGGTGCTTGTGGAACTTTCTGAAGAAGAAAATAGCTGTTCTGTCTTTGATAACAGAATTGCTGCTCCCTTTCAGTCTGCCTACATCATGTAACAGGGAGCTTGGAGGGGAAAGGAGGTCATAGAAGGAAGCTTTTTATTGCAACCCAGTATCACATGCACATGCTCACAGTCACATCCTAAATTCTGTTTGCTGTCTCTGCAGTCTTAATGTGCTTTTATTTCTATGAAGATGTTAATTGAGGAAAAAAAGAATTTCCTCCCTTCTGACCCCCCCCCCCCCCCGCCATCCTGAGTACCCAAATTTTACCTGTGCTGTGCTGCTTGGGCTAAAATGCAACGGTGGGCTCACTTCCAGAATTGGTATTGAGTGTATTCTACTAGCTAGAATTTTCAGTATCATCCTGTTCTCTTCCTGATCCTTCCCGTTACTGTATTCTTCTTTTCCCTACTCTTGTTCTTCTTTTCTTTGCCTCCCCGTCATGCCCAAGCAACTGCCTTCTGCTTCCTGAACCCCACAAGAGGTGCTAAGGGTAGAGTGTGGGGTGTTCTCAGGGCTCCCCGCTGTGAGTGCCACCAAGGCCCCTGGGGATGGGGAGCTGCACAGACCCCTTGCTCAGCCCCTGTGTTCCTGGCGTGAGGGGGAATTCCTGTCCGTGTTGGGAATGGTATGAACATGTAGAAACTCTGAACTGTGCTGGTGTGCACAGTCTTCAGAGACTGCAGTTTGGATGTGGGGATGGATCTGTGGGCTGGAAAGACCTGCATCACTTTGTTGTAGTTAACACGTTCCTGGAAACCAAGCCAGCCCAGAACTGCAGGTGGTGGCTGGCTGAGCACTGCCTCAATGGCTGCTTTTAAAGTTTGTGGTCTCCATATCGCTTAAAGCAGAGTTTATTGAGAAATGTCAAGGCAGAAATGAACTCAGAAGCACATGTATATGTTATTAGGAAATAAGTCTTTCAGAAGTAAGATAGTTTGCATTTATAAAGTTCAGCAAGGTCCTTTTTATCAGCTTCACTACTGCAGAATTCCCTTTTAAACTCGGGTGCACAAACACAGTTCTACTTGCATCACTTGCCTCAAGCAATTTAACTAAGAGTTAACATGAGCTTTTGAGTTTTCTTAAGAAACACCAGTTAATCTGTGACCTTAAATAACTGTGTTGTTCATTACTGCTCTTTTGGTCAAATTTATTAGCTGTGGTAAATTAATGAGGCAGAAGTGCTGATAAAACCATTCTTTTCTAAATGAAAGAAACGCGTGAACTTTTAAAGTGACTGATCAAAGTGAAGTGTTCTGGCTTTGCTAAGAATTAAAAAGTAGGTGCCTAAGGTTAACCAGATAATGGATTTATAGTTTTTCAATATGTAGAAATGGAATACTACTTACTGATTTTAAATCTGGTACTCAAATTGGAGGTTCTTTAAAAGGCCTGTTGAAAGAGAATTGCAGTTTATGGAGTCTAACAGATACACATCCAAGTATGTAATCAGATTTAAGTGCTGCCATGTTTTAAAATAGTTACGCTATTTAATCCAACTTCGAATTTGAAGATGGCATAACTTTTAAAAATTGCCCTACTTTAAGTATACAAGAAAAAAAATAATACCCTTGTTTGATGCCTGATGATTAATGCCAGAAATTGTCATGATCCTACAGAGTAATCTGGAAAGGATTTTACTTAAGGGGATAAAATAGATTTTCACTTTAACTGGGGGCAGTAAGCTTGACAGCCAAAGTGGTAGTTTTATAAATTCAAATATAGTTAGGTAATTTCTTTGGAAAATAAATGTCTGTGCTGATTTCTATTCCAAGTGAACTAAAACTTGTGTTTAGAAAATTATATATTATAGTGAGTTAAAAATGACTTCCATACTAGAAGTCTGGCTCGCTTGGAGACCTCTCACTCAGTAGATCCAGGTATCTTCTGGACACCAGCGTGGTTCATTGGCTGTGCAGGCAGCTGTCCTGTTCTCCGAGCGGTGCTGGGCAGAGAGCCCCAGGAGCGCAGGGTCCCTGCATGTCACTGGTCCTTGCTGGGGTCCCAGGGCCTAGTGTGGGAGGGAGCGATGGTGGAGTGAGGGAGAGGAGGGAGGTGAAGAGGGGAGAGATGTCAAGGAAGCCAGAGGCACCGTTTGCAATAGGAGGTATGGCTAGATAGCTTTTTTTTTTTTTAGTAGACAGGTTTTTAGCAGAGTGCCAGTGGGCTAATATTCTAGAAGCTGCTTTGTATCACTGTGGCTGGGATGGCAGTTACTTGGATCTTCCAGGATTTTAGTAAGTGATCTAGAACGCTGGTAGCTTCTTTTGTATTTTTTCTGAAATTGGGTGAATGGGGGTGTATGGAGATGCTTCCAAATCACACAACAGTCTGATTCTCCAGCAGAAAGACCACAAGGGCAGATGTGGTGGGAGTGGTTGACCAAAGGTTGTAGCATCTGTGGTCACTATATATTGTTCAGATGGAAAGGATGAGGAACACGTTCCTGTTCTGGTAGCGGTAGTGTAATGCAGTGCTAAAGCTCCTTACCTTGTGTTACTGGTATAGCGTGTGTATGTACAACAAAGAATAAACTTGTTTTAATCCATTGTACTCATGTGTTTAAGAATTTGATGGCTAAGGAAAGCAGGTGGCAGATATGTCAACCGTGTTGGAAAGGAAATTTAAATGTCTTCAGATGATAGGTTCTTCTAAGGTTCTTTTGGCAATGTAGACTTCATTTTGCAGGGTTGCCATATTAAATAATGAGAAATGTGGCTATTCTACTGACCAGCACAGCCTAGAGGGTGCTGTGGCTGTCATCTTTGTGCTACTTCGCATTCGTAGCCTATCGCAGCACGTCCCCTCTTGCAACTGCTTTTACAGGCACTTGTAGCCTTTTTAGGGCTGCTCGACCTTGTCCTAGCTGCACGGGCAGCCCTGGGGATTATCAGTTCCCCAGCTCCTTGGCACTCAGAGGTCTTCATCAGAGGCACTAGAAACCCTAGTGCAGAGATACGGGAGCTCACTGTCCCTGCAGCACCACTGAGTGTCCTGCAGGCTGACTTACCTGTTTTCCTGGCTGTATAAACCTCTCACACGTCTTTGTTCCTCAAGATTGCCAGGTTGTGTGTGCTGTAACTGTATTTGCCAGCATTTACCCTATTCTGTAATGTAATCCAAGTTGTTCTGCGTCCCTTGCTTTGCAGAGCTGGCAAGGAGCAAGGGAGGTCAGTTGCACATAAATGATTTAAAGCTTTCAAATCCTAATTTTCCTTTGCCTGTGTTAAAACTGTGTAAAAAGAGGTAAATATCAAAAGAAATGCACAGTAAGTTCTTAAGCCCACCCCAACCCCCCGGAGCAGGTTGCTTAGTCGGGTGGTGCAGTCTTCTATGAATAGTTAACTGTTCACTGTTAAACACTGTAGAACTATGCCAGGTTAAAAATAGTGGTAGCTGCCTTATTAACTTTAATATATTACTCAGCCATGTGTGGCCAGCATTTTGTCAGCACAGCAAATCCTCTAATGGATTGACATAATTTATGAGTAAAGGAAAGTTATTCAAATGTGGCAGTAGCATGAATATTGTGAGGCTGCTTTGCCTATCGCATCCTTACAGCAGGGGCTGCAGCTCCCGCAGCAGATGACATGGGCAGGATGCAGGATTTGCCCGGGATGCCCTCTGGCTGCTCTAGGGGAGTTGCTGGGAGTGGGAGATGCCAGCGGTGGTGTTCTGTCTTTTGTTTGGGCTTTTTCTAGTTGCTGCCACTTGAAAACATTATTTTCAAATCAATAAAGAGTTTTTGCAAGGAAAGGTTCATACCCAAAGAGTTCAACAAATCCGTTTAATAATCATATCCACTATTTGCCTCATTGGTATAGACTCTATCAGTGGTGTGTGGTTGCTCTCTGCCAAGGGCCCCAGGTCCCTTCCCAGCTGTTGCTCTCTGCCAAGGGCCCCAGGTCCCTTGGCTGGTCACTCCTCAGGTTGTGTTGCCACAAGGGGCCTTTCCTTCCCAGCTGCAGGATTGTGCCCTTGTCCTGCTGGAGCTCCATGAGCTCCCCGTTGGACACTCTTCATCCTGTCTGTGTCTCTGGGGACAGCCGTCCGGCACCGGAGTGTGCTCACTGCTTCCCCCAGCTCGGTGTGAGCAATGTCCTTTTAAAACGATACCCAAGCCCCTGGTTTATACTTTTAACCTTGATTGTAGCCTTAATTAGAATAGAATGGGCAAATAGAACCAGCATGTTTCAAGGTGCTGGATTTGGTAAAAGTTGCATGTACTACACTAGCATCCTGTCTGTGTCTCTGGGGACAGCCGTCCGGCACCGGAGTGTGCTCACTGCTTCCCCCAGCTCGGTGTGAGCAATGTCCTTTTAAAACGATACCCAAGCCCCTGGTTTATACTTTTAACCTTGATTGTAGCCTTAATTAGAATAGAATGGGCAAATAGAACCAGCATGTTTCAAGGTGCTGGATTTGGTAAAAGTTGCATGTACTACACTAGCATGTGCCTACATGAATTATTTAGTAAATAAGGGATGCGACGCAGCACTGCTGTTACTGAGGCATTTAGAAATTAAAAAGTAATTCCTTGGTGCGTTTCAGGCACTCTAGAAACTAGTGATCTAGAACGCTGGTAGCTTCTTTTGTATTTTTTCTGAAATTGGGTGAATGGGGGTGTATGGAGATGCTTCCAAATCACACAACAGTCTGATTCTCCAGCAGAAAGACCACAAGGGCAGATGTGGTGGGAGTGGTTGACCAAAGGTTGTAGCATCTGTGGTCACTATATATTGTTCAGATGGAAAGGATGAGGAACACGTTCCTGTTCTGGTAGCGGTAGTGTAATGCAGTGCTAAAGCTCCTTACCTTGTGTTACTGGTATAGCGTGTGTATGTACAACAAAGAATAAACTTGTTTTAATCCATTGTACTCATGTGTTTAAGAATTTGATGGCTAAGGAAAGCAGGTGGCAGATATGTCAACCGTGTTGGAAAGGAAATTTAAATGTCTTCAGATGATAGGTTCTTCTAAGGTTCTTTTGGCAATGTAGACTTCATTTTGCAGGGTTGCCATATTAAATAATGAGAAATGTGGCTATTCTACTGACCAGCACAGCCTAGAGGGTGCTGTGGCTGTCATCTTTGTGCTACTTCGCATTCGTAGCCTATCGCAGCACGTCCCCTCTTGCAACTGCTTTTACAGGCACTTGTAGCCTTTTTAGGGCTGCTCGACCTTGTCCTAGCTGCACGGGCAGCCCTGGGGATTATCAGTTCCCCAGCTCCTTGGCACTCAGAGGTCTTCATCAGAGGCACTAGAAACCCTAGTGCAGAGATACCGGAGCTCACTGTCCCTGCAGCACCACTGAGTGTCCTGCAGGCTGACTTACCTGTTTTCCTGGCTGTATAAACCTCTCACACGTCTTTGTTCCTCAAGATTGCCAGGTTGTGTGTGCTGTAACTGTATTTGCCAGCATTTACCCTATTCTGTAATGTAATCCAAGTTGTTCTGCGTCCCTTGCTTTGCAGAGCTGGCAAGGAGCAAGGGAGGTCAGTTGCACATAAATGATTTAAAGCTTTCAAATCCTAATTTTCCTTTGCCTGTGTTAAAACTGTGTAAAAAGAGGTAAATATCAAAAGAAATGCACAGTAAGTTCTTAAGCCCACCCCAACCCCCCGGAGCAGGTTGCTTAGTCGGGTGGTGCAGTCTTCTATGAATAGTTAACTGTTCACTGTTAAACACTGTAGAACTATGCCAGGTTAAAAATAGTGGTAGCTGCCTTATTAACTTTAATATATTACTCAGCCATGTGTGGCCAGCATTTTGTCAGCACAGCAAATCCTCTAATGGATTGACATAATTTATGAGTAAAGGAAAGTTATTCAAATGTGGCAGTAGCATGAATATTGTGAGGCTGCTTTGCCTATCGCATCCTTACAGCAGGGGCTGCAGCTCCCGCAGCAGATGACATGGGCAGGATGCAGGATTTGCCCGGGATGCCCTCTGGCTGCTCTAGGGGAGTTGCTGGGAGTGGGAGATGCCAGCGGTGGTGTTCTGTCTTTTGTTTGGGCTTTTTCTAGTTGCTGCCACTTGAAAACATTATTTTCAAATCAATAAAGAGTTTTTGCAAGGAAAGGTTCATACCCAAAGAGTTCAACAAATCCGTTTAATAATCATATCCACTATTTGCCTCATTGGTATAGACTCTATCAGTGGTGTGTGGTTGCTCTCTGCCAAGGGCCCCAGGTCCCTTCCCAGCTGGGCCTTTCCTTCCCAGCTGCAGGATTGTGCCCTTGTCCTGCTGGAGCTCCATGAGCTCCCCGTTGGACACTCTTCATCCTGTCTGTGTCTCTGGGGACAGCCGTCCGGCACCGGAGTGTGCTCACTGCTTCCCCCAGCTCGGTGTGAGCAATGTCCTTTTAAAACGATACCCAAGCCCCTGGTTTATACTTTTAACCTTGATTGTAGCCTTAATTAGAATAGAATGGGCAAATAGAACCAGCATGTTTCAAGGTGCTGGATTTGGTAAAAGTTGCATGTACTACACTAGCATGTGCCTACATGAATTATTTAGTAAATAAGGGATGCGACGCAGCACTGCTGTTACTGAGGCATTTAGAAATTAAAAAGTAATTCCTTGGTGCGTTTCAGGCACTCTAGAAACTTAATCCAGCTGGGACAAGTAACCAGTTGCCGTTTTAATGAATGACAATTTCGGGAAGTTTGTGCTTCTTCAGGTGCTTGCTGCCACCTAGAGCCAGTTGAGCTCGGTGTTTTCTACTTGGATTCCTTTGGCTGTGTGGCTGGAACCTGTCACCGACACTTGTTTTCTAGGTCTTTGGAGCTCTGCTCTAATAAATATGCTCTGGAGAGGTAGAAAGGGAGGCTGTGTTTATATATAATGTTTATACATATCTACCTGGGAGTTTGTGCTTCTTCAGGTGCTTGCTGCCACCTAGAGCCAGTTGAGCTCGGTGTTTTCTACTTGGATTCCTTTGGCTGTGTGGCTGGAACCTGTCACCGACACTTGTTTTCTAGGTCCTTGGAACTCTGCTCTAATAAATCTGCTCTGGAGAGGTAGAAAGGGGGGCTGTGTTTATATATAATGTTTATACAACTAGAGCTTTAATATTGTACTGGCTTAGGTAGATATGTAAGTCAGAAGAATCTTTTGGAAAACATTTTTTTTTAAATGTAATTGATGTGGGATGCAGATCTGTCAGTTACCTACTTAGCAGCTAATGGAAAGTACTGTTGTATGACAGGTTTTATGTGGCACTATGATCTGGAATGTTAAGTGGTGAATGATTTGATTGAAACACCCTAAAAAGACAATACCATATGCCTTAGATGACTTCTGTAAGAATCCTTACAGAGACTGGGAACTTCAGGAGATTTTTTTATTAAGCACCCTTACAGAGACTGGGAACTTCAGGAGATTTTATTAAGTACAAATGTGGTTAATAAGTAATGTGGTTAGTTGATTATTCATTAAATATTTTTCAGATTCAATCAACGTACTATGCTGTTAAGTGTTTTCAACTTCTTTTGCAGGGTGACCTGAAAACGTACATTTGCAATGAGCAGGAGCACGTTAAAGGAGATTCACTAATAATGCTGCTGCAGAGAATGGCCTGCGAGATTGCTGCTGGGCTTGCTGTGATGCACAAACACAACTTTGTGCATAGGTATGCCCTCCAGATAGCTGCTTCTGGTTGTCATGTGCTCAAATACATGTAGATATTTTGATTAGCATCCATGTGTATTGAAGATTGTGTTGTAATGAACTTGTGTCTAACTTACATATCCTAAGTCATGAAGGTGTGATGCTTGTGAAGATGCTCGTTTGGCCGCGGTGGGGTGGTGGTTCAGCCCCCGCCTGGCTGGAAGCTGGTGGGTTTGCAGCCCCTGGGGCACAGAACACTGCTGGGCCGGCCCAGGAGAGGTGGTGGTTTCATTAATTCCCAGCCTAGTTAAATTTGTTTTGGTTTTGGAGGGGAGGGATGTTAGAATGAATCTTACCTGCTATGTGTTTTTTATAGATGATAGCAATTTAGAACTTCTGTTTGGTAATCTGTTAGCTGTGTTACTAAAACCAGAAAAAAACCCAAACCCTCACAACCCTAAAATTGCTGCCTTTTAGGGTTGTGAGGGGGAAGCTGACTTCAGGTGAAAAATCAGACTGAAGCAGATGTTCTGGCACTGCCTTATTGTTAGTGTAACCTTTAATCTTCAGTAATGGAGGTAGCCAGGTTTAGAAGAAATCATAATGGGAGAACAATTTGTTTTTAACTGGGGGGGGGAAATGCTAGATTTCTTTATTTTAATTAAAGTTAATGCAGCCAATACTGAAAGAAGGCAATAGTAAAAGGCTGGGGCAAAAATGCATTCGTGAAACTAGTTGCTCAGAAATGCCCCAAAATTCATTTTTTTTGACTTTGAAAAGGTGTTAAGGACCTGGAAAACCTCAACCTTAGACATGTAATAACTAAAATATTTGAGTACTTGCTCCTCAAGCATGGCATACCTGATGAAGCCTGGGCTATCACAAGATAGTTTATTTTGTTTCGTGTTGGGCTGGTCTGTCCTTCGCTGCAGAAACAGCACTTGCATCTTTATCCTTTTCAGCAAGTTGGGAACTTGTGCTGGAGCTTATCGAGGCACGTCGTGATGCTTAGAGAAAGCAGAGCCCTCATGTTCGGGGAGAAGGGAAAGGAGGTCTTCAAAGTTGTGACCCAGCAGCAGAGCCCTGAGGAGCCCAGGCCTGGGCTGGTGGCTGCTGGGCAGAGTGTTGCTTTTAACCTGTTTAACAGTTACAGATGACCTCAAGGTGGTACCAGTTGTACCTGTCAAACTGGGTGATCACTGCTTCTTGTGTTGCAGCAGCCTGGCTCTGTAGGTATTAAATTTAACAGTATGTTTTCAGTGAAATACGGTTAAACTTGATAAATAATTATTCTGTGGATCTGCAGGATTCTCATTGTAAATGTTTACTTCTAGCAACACTATCCTGATGCTGTCAGAGTAAGTGGTAAAGCTCCAGCATCAGTGATTTTGTTGTTAGTGGTAAACTCAAGCAGCCAAAATCACATTTCTCTTCCAGGATGTTTATTTAAATAGTATAAAACAAGTTGGAAAGCTTTGGGGCATACTTGAGAGTTACAGATGTGTTTCTGGCCTGTGTAGTCCAATGACTGGAAAGGAGAAGGTTATAGAGAGAAGGTCTCCTTGGAAGTAGGGGCACTGTGTGGCTTTGGGACAGCTTTGCTGCAGAGACCTCTCTGAAGGCTGGCAGAAGCAATGGCAGAGTTCTCCCCGTCGCTGGGGCCCTTCTGGGAAACTGAGGGGCAAAACGTCGGAGCGCTTGGTGCAGAGCTCTCTGCTTCCCAACTGCTGTTCTGTAGTGACCACGCAGCTTCATTACACTCGCAGAAATTTGAGTTTGCACGGTGGGGTTTCTAAAACAGCGTTTCGGTTTGGTCTCATTATCTATTTCTTTGCTTTTTCAGTGACTTGGCCTTACGGAACTGCTTTCTTACGTCTGATTTAAATGTCAAAGTGGGAGATTATGGTATAGGATTCAGTAGATACAAGGTAAGTTCATCTAGTCATATACCACTTTTTTAAAAGGATTTGGGGCCTAAGGTTATAACAAGCATACTTTAGCGTTAGAAACTGATACTAGATTGTCCTGGAACAGTGGACTTTCAAAGTATAACTGGCAAATAACAAGCTCCTGTAAGAGAATAGATGATTTTTCTAGAGCTGAGCGGAGTTTAGTGCTTGTAGAAGGAGCTTCTGGCTAAATCTGTCTTCTTTAGGTGCTATTTACAGTAGTCCTAAAATATGCACACATTAATTTTAAATGTTTTAAGGAAGGAAAAATTCAAGCAAATTTCTTAATGAAAATGTTCAAAGTATTTAAATATATCCAGAAAATGAAAAATTCAAGGCATTAATTAAAATGTTTTCTGAGTACCAAACCTTAAAGAAGTTGTTCAGTTTCCAGACATTCAGTTTTTCTGCTCTGCGGTGACACCTTTCCTCTACAGTGTTATTCTCTGCTGCTTGGGGGAAAAAAGGGATTAAGTTTTTTAAATTCTAATTTTTTGCATAGGGGTCACATAAAACCATATTAAGAAAAGGTCTGTCAACTTCTGGATGTTGATCCAATGTTTGTTCAGTCTTTTTTTTGTTCTTTTTATTTTTATCAATAATTTAGGAAGATTATATTGAGACAGATGAGAAGAAACTTATTCCTCTCCGATGGACTGCACCTGAGTTAGTAACAAGTTTTCAAGACAGACTGTTATCAGCAGAGCAAAATAAATACAGTAACATATGGTATGTACTAGGCTTTAAAATAATTTCAGAGGGAGATATGTGAATATATTTTCAAGTGTTACACAAAGGAGCAAATATTTACAGTTAAAAAAGGAGTGCATCAGGCCAATATTCAATTTATTTTTGCAAGGAAGGGTTGCCCAAAGATCACTGTCAGCTCTAATCACTGAAAATGTGATGAGTGTTGTACATGGTATCTATACAGCTCTAAGCAAAAGAGTTGGCTTCTGACCACTGCAGCTTAAAAGTAAGTAATTTTATGAAAACTCAACCAAAGATGAGTTTTCTAGTGGTTTGACCCGTAACTGCCGTTTCTGATGAAAGCTTTTCCTACTGTTGGACTAACCATAAGGTTTATTCATCTTGCTTCTCTAAAAAAGCATTTCTACTTTTTAATATGTGGGGTTTTCTTCCAAAGCTCAGTCATTTTGAGGCCTTTTGTATTTAGTTGCCTTCATTGCCATTGCCTTCATTGCTGTTGACTTCAAGCAACTTTATTCTTGAGGCTTCTCATGTTCTGTCAAATGAAATGAGTTAACAAGTTCTGAGGTTTTTGTGGAGCCAGTGGGAGAGTGATATTTGTTTCTTCTTGGCAGTTATGCTTTGCATAATCAATCCTTTCTTAGAAAAGCAGCTTTAGTTCTGGGAGCACAGAGTCATTTGCTGCTCTCTTTCAGGGCCCTGGGTGTCACGCTGTGGGAGCTGTTTGAGAACGCTGCTCGGCCTTACTCGGACTTCTCCGACAGGGAAGTCCTGACCCACGTCATAAAGGAGAAGCAGGTTAAACTCTTCAAGCCACGGCTGGAGCAGCCATACTCTGATAGATGGTAAGCTTTAAATGTTGTTATTTATTCTTAAAGCTGCCGGAGAAGTTTCTTGCGTTACTCAGTTCCTTAAATATATTGAAATTCCTACATGGAATCATGCTCCTGGCAAAGAAACACTAGATAAAAGTGAAAGGAGTTGCTATATACGGAAATTCCTGCCAGTGATATTAATTGTTACTCCTTAGCTTTTTAGATAGCTGAATTTTATAAATCCCTTTTCAGTGTGAAGCTTATTGAAACATGCTTCTATTTGTATAGGTATGAAGTTCTGCAGTTCTGTTGGCTACCTCCGGAGAAGAGACCAACAGCAGAAGAAGTGCACAGACTCCTCACTTACCTTCGCATGCAAAGCCAAAGGGACTCAGAGATTGATTTTGAGCAGCAGTGGAACGCTCTTAAACCAAACACCTCAAATAGAGAAACAAATAATTCTGCATTTCCAATCTTAGATCACTTTGCAGGAGATAGACTTGGCCACGAGATGGAGGAAGTTCTTACTGTAACTGAAACAAGCCAAGGTCTCAGCTTTGAATACATCTGGGAGGCAGCTAAACATGACCATTTTGATGAGTGCAGTCATGTGAATCCTGATGAAGCAATGACGTATACGAGTATTTTCTTTCCAGTGGAGGTTTTTGAGAGGTCCCTGTCAGAGCAGGGGTCGGGAGCACAGGATGGAAGTGGTCAAGAAGCATCACTTGCTGTCCCTGGGGTGTTACCTGTGTTTGATGCGCACAAGCTTTCTGTCGGAAATGACTACTATATCCAGTTAGAGGAAAAAGGAAGTGGCTGCAGCATGAATTTTGATAACCAGTCAGTTGTACTAACCACAGAAGTTGATCATCAAGAAGCTGTACAAGAAAAAAGTTCTCATTTCACAGTTCTCAGGGATCTTGACGTTGAAGAATCTAGTACTGATGGGGACTTCTTCCACTACAATACAGATCCTAAAGAGGAATTGTTGCCTGCTGCTAGTAGTCCAGAAAGTCCTTTCCAGAATATCTTTAATGACATTGACAGATCAGAAGAATACAGAAAATCAGAAGAAAACAGAAAAATACTTCCTTTTGCTGAAACAAATGATATTCCTAAAGACTTTAAACCAGTTGTTTTAAACTCAAACACAGATGCTGGAAAGGCAGTAGGCCCTTCTGAGAAGGAGCATGGTAGTTGTGCTTCTGAAAACGAAACAGTTTCTTTATGTGAAAATATTTCAAACCGATCTGACTCGGTAACTTTAGAAGAACTTTCTGATAACTTCTTATTTCTTCAAGAGAAAAACTTATTAACAGGGTTGTTGTCTAACAAAACCAGCAGTGATGTGGGGCAAAACACAGAAGATGTTCTGAAAAGTATATTAGAAACCTCAAATAGAAACTCTGTAGAGCCTGAGCCCACGTTGGCTGAAAACGCACAGGTCTTTTCTTTAATCCATGAAAGTCTTAGAACAGTGAAAGATGAAAATTTTAACCCCGTGATGATAAATAAAGATCCGAGTTCTCGGTCTCAGAATACCATAGAGATGCAGGTGTCCTCTAGTCCATCTGCAGCACATAAGTCATGTGATAGAAGTGCAAATCTTCATTATTTGAAGGATGAGGGAAAAGTTTTAAATGCGGAGGTCAATGAAGTTGTGTCCTGTAACATTGATATGCTCTGTCAAGAAGACCTCTCCAATAATGCCAAAAATAATAATGTTGGAAACAACCCATGTTACGGTGTTGCTGTTGGAGCAGCTGAGAGTGCTGCACAGGTGAAACAGGGAATGCTTTTCAAGTCTGAGGAAATAACTTTTAATAGAGGAGAATGTCATGATCAGGAAGATATGAAAAGAAACTTGCAAGATAAGTCTCCCATATTAAAAAAAGGTAAATGTTTATTGGAGGAAAACCAAGAAACATCAAATCATTTTGAGAACTTTAAGGATGTTCCAGGGGAGGTGACCTTAATTTCTGTTGCTATGTCAGATAGTGCGAGCCAGGACAGTCTTTTGGAAGACAGCCCATCCCCAATACAGACTGTAGAAGCCTTAGAGACACCCGATTCTTTGGATTCTTTAGATGTAAATGAGGTTTTAGAATCTTTGCAGGCTCAAAGCCCTCAGAAACTTTTGCCTCCTGATAAACCTGCTGACAGTGGCTATGAAACTGAGAACCTGGAATCTCCAGAATGGACTTCCCATGTCACTGCTGAGGATGCTTCTAGTGTGGATACTGCTCTCAATGTTGTCGGCGAGAGCAGCGACAGTGCTTCGCCTTCGAACCCAGTCATCATTGTTTCCGAGGCGGCCGCTTGTTTAGATGCAGCAAACAGCAATTTTGAAGTAACCCCAAAGGTTCTTCTGGGTGGGAGTCAGAACTCGTATAGAGACTCTGCTTATTTCTCTGACAATGACTCTGAGCCAGATAAAAAAACAGAGGAGACTGTAAATCTGTCAAGAGAGGCTGCATGTGGTGATTCTTCAAATGGAAGAGAGAATAATGCTGAAGAGGGTTACAGTTTTGAAGAGAGACAGCAGAAGTGTGATGTAAAGAATTACCAGGATATCAATAATCAAAATGCAAAACTAGAACTAAATCACAACTTGAAGATGCGAGAGGTGGATGTAAGGATGCAGGGATGTCCTGATGAGTGGGCTGAGGCAGCTCTGAATTCCCTGGAAATAGTGATGGAAAGGGATGGAATAGAAGTGTCTGAGACTTCCCATAAAAGTGTCTCTTGTGTTGGCACTAATACTTCAGAACTTCTGTCACACAGAGACTTACAGTCTGTGCATAACGTACACAGCCCTTTGGACCTGAGCAGCAGTGAGAAGTCCTTCTATCACGTTGAAGGACAAAAGCTGAAAGAGCCGGATATCGAAGGGAAATACCTTGGCAAACTTGATGTTTCTGGAATGCTTGATTTAGAAGACGGTGATGATGCAGATGAGGAAGATGAGAACAGTGATTCTGAGGATGACATGAGGACTTTCCATATGCATAGTCTGAGTTCTGACAGCGAAGATGAAACTGTTCATCAGGTACCTGAGATACTCACTGACAAAGATGATGGAAAACACCTGAGGAGCTTGTTGAAACTTTCAAAACCTCTTGATGAAAGGCAACGCGAGCATTGGAAAAACGAGAAAAAGGCTGTAACATTCTTTGATGATGTGACAGTCTATTTGTTTGATCAGGTATCCTTTTTCTTTAATTACTAATTAAAGTTTTGTTTGGGATTTTTTGAAGAAGATGTGGTAGAATAGCTTAATAATATTTGTGGACAGGCTGTTATAAGATGACCTTTCTTGTCTCAGAGGCTTGGAGGTGGTTCGTGGTGTGGGTTGTTTCTCCTTGGCTCAGTGTGGTCATTGCTGCTGGCAGAACAGCAGCACCATCTGAAGTGAAGGAGGGTTGGCTTTGGGCTGCCACATCCTCAGTCTCTGCTGCTTTTGGACCCTGGACTGCATGTGTTGAATGAAACGTGTGATGTCTTTCTGATGTTTATAAACTGTATTTGATTTGAACATGTGAGACTGCATCATTATGGACCAGATTTGGTTAATTTATTTTACCAGAATGCTATTGTAACTTTATAAAGGTGGTTTATGTGTTTGATGAGATTGAGAACTTAGATTTTAAGTTCAAATGCCTTTATAAAAAGAAAATAAGAAAAAAAAACCCCACCAAAACCCCAAACATAAACACACAGCCCCCCACCCAAACCAAACCACAGCCAAATTCTCAATCTTGCATGAGTTAGCATTAAGGTAAATTTAACTTAGACTATAACCAAAGATGAGAATGATATTTAGATGGTAATGCTACTTTATATTAATCCAGTGTGATTCAAGTTCAGGGAAATACTGATCTGCTTATAAAAGTCAAGGTTACCTTTGTTTCCCTGTCAGCTTTATCAATTTTGTACTTCTGTAACTTGATACAGAGGGGATTTCTGTTTTAACCTGATGGCAACTAAACTAGTACAGTGAGTTTAAAAGAACGGTCACATTGTCAGGCTTTGGAAATGTTGCTTATGATGACGCACATAAATATTGGAGATAATTGTGTTTTGGAATAGAAAATGTAGGTGATATATTTGTGTTTAGGCAGTCTGTAGAATAGTGATTCTTTTGTCAGAGGGGAAGGAAAAAATTAGCTGTGTTTAAACTGCTCTTATTGTTGAACTTGTTACTTATTACAGTAACTGATAAAATGTTGGCTGCTTCAAATACCGGTCCTACAAAGTCTGGTTTTATCCTGGAGCATGATTAAGGGGGGAAAAAAAAAATTAAAAAATATGTTGGGAAATGGGATAAGGCTTTATTAAATAGAAGAAAACCCCTACCTGTGTCAGGCTGATAAGGGAACTGTTTTCATTTGGAAGATGTTTTAGCGTTGTTCCTAGAAATATGAAACCTTTTCATATCATAAATAATATTTAAGTAGTCATTTCCTGCATGTAGTTTAGCATAGGCTTGATACCACTTCCTTCAGAAATAGAAGTATGTGTGTGCTTAACCTGTAACTCAGAGTTGTGTGGCAGTAACTGGAGAGCTCACAGGCCATTCAGTTCCACAGGGGGCTTGGGTGGCAGGGCTGGGGGAGTGTGTTTCTGGAGTGCTGTGTCTGTGGGTGTCTGTGGGTGTCTGTGGGTGTCTGTGGGTGTCTGTGGGTGTCTGTGGGCCTGGAGCTGTGTGCGTGGGAGTTAACGAAGGTACGTTGTTTGCCCTAGGAAATGCCAACCAAGGAGCTGGGGAACCGGGCAGCAGAGGTGAACGGCGAAGGCTCCTGCAGCACTCCTGTTCCATCCTCCAGTCTCAGTTACTTAAACAGATTTGGAAATTCAGAAAGCTCAACGGATGAAGAAGGTACTGGAGTATATTTAGCAGAGCCTGAGACTCTCTTATGTGTAGTTTTTGGTGAAATGTCATTTAAATTCTAGGTAATTTGTAAATTCACACCTCCGTGAACTGGCTTCAGTTTTGCACCCTAAGCATACCCTTCAGCAAGGCTCAGCTGCTGGTGTTACTGGTCACCAAGGCCTGTGGTGTCGTGCTGGTTGGGTTCATATTGATGTGTCTTGAGAGGCTATCCAGCTGTGGGTGACAAAGCTCTGTGACCCCTGGGGCTAGAACAGAAACGCTACAAGTTTTGGGTTAATGCAGTCTTCCAGGGGCTTGCTTTTAAACCTGTCTCTGGCTTTGCGTCACTCTAAATCGTCTCTGTTTTCTTCTTTTTTTTCCCCAAGGTGGGGGTTTTGAATGGGACGATGACTTCTCTTCTCCAGAGCCAACCTTTCTGTCAAAGGCAGCTAATAGTCTTCTTGGTTCTAAAGCACCTCTTCAGCCATCCAAGTACTTCTCTCCCCCGCCGCCTTCCCGGACTCTGGATCAGAGCTGGTCCCACTCCTCCCCGTATTCCCGGTTCTCCATCTCTCCCGCAAACATGGCCAGCTTTTCTCTCACGCATCTTACAGACTCGGATATAGAGCAAGGAGGTGAGTGATTTAGTGATAGCTACAAATTAAAGATTTTATGCAAAGATAGAAGTAATAGATATGACAAATGTTACTGCATTTTAAATGCTTAATTTAGAAATGCATTTTGAACACTATAAAATCTATGTCTGGTCTTGTATTTCAGTTAAGACATATATTTTGTTTAGATTGACATTATTTGTATCCAAGTCGCTACCAATTTGTGGCTGGTTGTTCCACAGAACACTCACAGGACAAGCTCACAATTTTTCTGTTCAAACAAACTGGTGCTATATGGATATAAATTAAATCTGTGTAGTCCTTGAACACCTCTGTGTAGCTGCCATGCTGTGGCAGTCCAATAATTCTCATTATTACCCTGTCATAAGTCAATTCTATTCTATCGGTGCATGAGGTGAGGATGCTAGGAACATCTTGTCTCTGCCATTGTTTTCTAAGATTATTTTACAGGTCAGTTCCTTTTCATATTGCTTTTTAAAAAGTGGGTTGTTGCTGCTCTCTGAGAACTGCAGCACGTGCCGTGGCGCTGGGGGTAGGGCAGAGTCTGTGGGGAGGGGGGGGGAAGGGGGCAGTCAGACTGACTGGTCATGGCCACACTGGGTACTAGCAGGATTTATTAACAGAACCTTTCTTGCCTGTAACAAAAAGCTTTTTTTAAGCTTTGATACATTTTTGAGGGTAAGAGAAGCAAAACTAAGCAGACTTTAATCAGTTCAGCATATTACTAATCTTGATTAAATGTTATAGTATTAAAAATAAATGTTACTGATGGCAGAGCCTTGCTAATGGTCAATGTCTATAAAAATGTAATCGGTGTTTATATGGAGAGTTGTATTGTTCTTGTGTGGTGTGTATTGATTAGATAGTGTTAGCTGCTTAGTAACTTCAGATAAGAGAGATTATTGAGATCCCACATCGCTGTGTGTGTCCCAGGACGTGACATTGAGCTGTGTGATTTCGGCAGGTGTCTGTGTATAAATGTACCCAGTGTTTGCAGTAGCTGAAAGCTCCAGGGAAAGATTAACCCAGACTTGGAAGTGAGGAACAGAGGAATGCCAGGTTCTAGGGAAAGCCTTACCAAAAGGGAGGGTTGTGCAGAAGAATCTCACTGTAACTTCTGACCTTTCCTCTCTAACAGGGAGCAGTGAAGATGGAGAAAAAGATTAAATGAATTAAAACTTCCTTGGACTACACACGTAAAACACACAGACTTTGTCTGAAACTTCTTTATCTAAACTCTGGATCCCCCCAGAGTAACACAGGTAATCAAGAAGTCTGAAGAAATGAAAGTAAACACTGAAAGCAATGTTAAATCAGGACATTAATTTGAATGTGTATTTAACTTTGTAATGTATTTTTAAATCAGTGCAATTTTGCTTTTCATTGAAAGATGATTCTGCCGCTGTTTTCAAGTACTTGAAGTATTTTTCAGATAACTTAAGAAACAAGTAAAGCAATTACACTACAGTCTGGTTTATGTATGAGATTGTATAATATTCTTTTTATATTTTTCCATGTAGCTCCTTACTGTTTGAACATGCCCCTGTCATAGAGCTGTGTAGAGCTGTGCTGTGCAGCCGGTGGCCGTGTTGCTGAAGCTGTACGAATGGTAGTTGATCAGTAGTGAGCCATATTTATTCCAAAAGATATCACTACATATTACTTTGCTTATTACAATTGCACTATGGGTTACTCTTCCTTTATTTCCGATGATGTACAGAATCAAAATCTTAAATCTGTCGAGGAAAAGAAGACAAGTTGAATTGGCCCAGTTATCCAGTTTGATTTGTCCTTTTTGTAGCCTTTGCTATGCACGGTACTTGTAAAACGTACATAACTTCTGAGTGTTACGTTAGACTTGCTGAAATCTTATATTCAGTACCATTTCTAAATGATAATTATTATAGATTGATTGTTAGTGTTCATGTTTTATAGGAAACTGGAAAAGAATATATGATGTATTCTGGAATTTTTAGATGAAAGAGGTAATATCTCTAAATTCCTGAATATGATCCTGCTGACTGCTTAAACTGTAATAGCATCTGACTATATCATGACTAAGGGCCTTCCACTTTATACTACAATTTCTGCCTTGGAGAAAGAAGAGGAAAAATTGGCTGTACAAAACTGGAATTTATGAACCTTACTAAAAGACTGATTTCCATAGGCTGGGTTTGGGCACTTGGGCCTTTGGTTGTCCGTTCAGTGGATTTGGAAGGTGACTCTTGTGCTGGCTGCAGTGGGGGCTGCCATCCAGAGGCCTGGGGTAAATCTACCTCGCGGTGACATTAAGACAATGAAGAATTAGGTTAATGGTTAATGCCCAGTTTTGCACCCTTTATAAAGCCAGGCCTATTTTAAGATGCCTGCAAGGCTCCACAGAACATCCTGAAATGCAAAGTGACCGAAAGATGCTCTGAAACATCTCTGGGGAAGGGAGTACAACGTGGGGTTTTTAACCTTTACTCCACCACACATTTAGCTTGTTTAACGCTTGTACTACGTGGGAATAAATAATCCTTAATTACCACTCCAAAGTGATTCTGTTGAGAAACAAATCCCTGACCTCTTGGAATGCCTTATGCAACTGTGGGTCTGCAGGAAACGCGGACAGGGAGAGTTTACCTGGCTTTGTATTTTAGTATACTGAACTATAAATGTACTGAAACACTAAGGACTTTGTATTTTAGTGGCTGTTCTGGCAGGGCCTCAGTATCGTGGTGTTCCCATCCCATCACCAGAGAATTGTCATCACATGAAGTATGGGAGGACTAGGTATTTTCAGATGTCTAAAGTTTGTTTTTGTATACCTCTATATGCGTTTTGCTTTTTTTTTAAGTGTGTTTTAAAATGACAGGAATATGGTAAATTTTTTTTCCAATGTTATTTAGCCCTTAACCAGAATGGTTTCCATACCGATCAAAAGGGAATGACTTAGTGTTCGTGTATTTAAAGTTGCCAATGTGTTGCTGAGGTGAGTTTCTGAGGAGGCACTCGGGTTCAGAGTTGGTCAGTTCTGCAGTATGAAGTGAGGAACTGAATTTTTTGCGGACTTTCCCCAAAACATGATTTAAGAGGTAAAGCCAAATAGTTCATAATCCAGGCTTACAGTATGTACTGTAGAGGGTTTAAGGAAGCTGTGCGCTACTCTCGATATTTTAAAATACAGATGATAAACTTTGTGTACAAAGTACTGCTTAGAAATTCCACAATTCCAATGCTAAACTCCCCCATACAGTGAGATGAAGCATCTCCTCTGTCTTCTCTAATTCCCACCATGGTAAGAACGGAACTCCGGAATGATCCGCACGGGATGTGGGGGCTTCTCTGCCTCCATGGTGACCAGGCTGCTGTCTCACACCTGGAGTTCAGCCTTAATTTCCAATCATTTGATTTAAAATATAGACCAAGGCTAAATAAAAGCTTCTCTCCAGAGTGTTGCAGTTCAGTTGTGCATTTTGTTTCTCACATTCTGGAACATCACGTTTATCTTGCACATCAGGAGTTCCTGTTGCTTGATGGGAATCTAAGATTTTTACTCCTTACCTGGGTTTAAAGCAATCCTTACTTAGGAAGTGAAAGTTTCCTCCTTTGTCCGAACGGACTCATTGCTAATGAATTGCCAAAGGAGCACCTTTTCCAAAATGAGCTGGGATGTGTATGATACTGAGCAAGGTAATGTCCTTTTTAGCTGGACAATGAAGAGAAAGAAATATTTAAAGTTGACTCATCTCACTTAAACGATGAATTTTAATTTCAGTAATCCAGTAGGCTGAATTGCAATAATACAAAAGGCTTTTTTGGAAAAATTACTAGTTAAAAATCTGATCAACTACTAGCAATACTGAACTATCTGCCGAGCAGTCAGTGACACAGTGGAGACGAGTCGGTGACTCCATCGTGTTACGTGATAAGGGGATTTGTTACAAACCATTCACTACAGGACATGTGATTTCTTGCACTAGCTACTCAAGCGTGGTTTCCGTTTCAGAAGTACATGTATCTATTTTCAGTGGTTTATTATGAGGCCTGGTTCTGTTTTAATTCCTTCTCTAGTAGAATACCTTGATTATTTGAATAACAAAGGCATTGTCTCAATCTGGCCACTACAGTTATTTCCAAGGTCTGGTTTTCCCACCCGTGGGGTGTGTTTGACAGCGAGGGGCCGTGGTGGGACGAGAGGAGCCCCCAGTCGTGGGGGGGGCCTGGTGCTCCCCAAACCCCCGCTGCGACTGCCCTTCTGGGAATGAGCCCATTCAACATTTTCTCATATCCTTGTTGGTGCACTAATGAAAGCCATTTAAGCCTCATTCTTTTTATCAGTATTTTTAGCAAATTTTTATGTAGTACTCAATCTTTTTTCATGAGGAGGCTGGTTGGTAGAAAGACTTTTTTCTTTTTTTTGCTATGACTAAGCACTAGGCTAAGTGGTCAGTGTTGCCAGGTGTTAGCCACATGGCTAGTTTTGTGGGGGTTGGCAAAAGGTGGAATCCAAGTATATATTAGCCTTATAAGAAATAGCCTTAAATAAGAGTGGAGTACGCAAAATTACTTCAGCTTTAAGTCATACAGAAATATCCTTGTATGTTATTGGTTTTAGTAGGAGACTGGAAAAAATCTAGAGGGGAGTCAAACATCATATAAACTTATTGAAAATAAGTATTTGTAATACCAGCAGCCTGTTTTTCAGAAACTTGAATATGACTTACAGTTTTGTTTATGACATTGTTTGAACTTGCACAGATGTAGGTGTAACTTAAATGATAAATGGTACTGATGTGTGTGTATATATAATGTTTAATTCTATTTGTAAATGAGAAACTATGTAACAAAATCATAGGTATGAGGTTTTCCTATTGTAATTTAATACAGGTATGAGGTTTATGGCAATATATCATAGTTAATGAAATTTCAGGTCAAAATGTCTTTAAATTGTGTACATTTTTAAATTGTAATTTCTACTGTATATTGATTATCATGCATAGTGTGATTCAAGAATCTGCTTGTAATTTAAAAATATTTAATATTAAAAATAAAATACAGTTATATATTTATAACCTCTGTGTCTGTGTTTGTTCATTCTTAAACAGATGCCAGCAGTGGATCAGGCCGAGTGTAGTTCTGCTGTAGGAGATATTTGTTAGTGTCCAGAGGGTGAGGAAGTACCAAAAGCTCAAAGCTGCAGCCCCAGTAACTAGTGTAGTCGCCTGTAATTTCTGCTGATGTCACCCGTGTGTGAACTGCAGGTAACGTGTCTGTGCAGTCAGTGGCCAAGCGATGCGTAAAATCCAAATCTGTAATTCTAAAAGCTGAGTATTGCTTTTGATCCTCGAATTAAGCCTTTGTAGGAAGAGTGGAGATTTCAAAATTTGTAAGTACCCTTCAGGAAACAGGTTAGTGGTCTGTTCTCTCGATATTTATTGAATGTATTTCTAGAAGATGATTTTATTGTGGTTTGGTTTTTTCCTTACATCTAAGTGTGTGCTGGATGGGAGCTGATGGAACTCCTGTCCCTGGGGGCGTTCGAGGATGAGTGGCCTGGTCTGGTGGGAGGTGTCCCTGCCCAGGAACTGGGTGGTCTTTAAGGTCCCTTCCCACCCAACCCCTGAGTGACTCTGGGGTCCCCGGGTGAGGAGACCTGTGCTCGGTGGGAGAGGGGCAGTTTGAGCCGGGGCAGGAGCCGGGTGCTGTTCCTCAGCCTGGGCACGTCGGGGCCATGGTCGGTGCCGCAGCTGTTGGGGTGCCCCGGGAATGAGGAACCGATACCGAGATGACTGAAGGTCACTGGTACGGTGTCACTCCTCGGCCCAAGGTGGCCCATCCGCCGCGGGAGCTCCCGGGGCAGGGGCTGTCCCTCCCGCAGCCCCGGGGCAGCGGCTGGAGGAGCCCTGCGGGGCTGTTCCCTGCGGGGCTGTTCCCCGCGGGTGCGGTGGTGACACCTGCACAGCCTGGGCCGGCAGAGCTGAGACCTTCCTCCTCCTCCCCCTCCTCCTCCTCCCCGCGCTGCGGTGAGCGCCGGCCTGACCCCCCCCGCGGTGACATCGGTTACCTCCCGCTCTGGGGGAAGCACCTCCCGCAGCCGCTCGCTGTCACCCGGTGACCGCGGGAGCCTTGTGCCGGTGTCTCCGGGCACTGTCCCCTCCGGGGAC